AGCCCTTGATAGTTTATAAATGGGTATTTTGTCATATCTTGCCCTGCCCAACGTCTCCCTTCACCCACTTTTCGGTTGTCTGTCCCCCCGGGAGGAGGTCACACACAGTTCCATGTAATCGGTTCCCTCTTTCCTACCCATTCTCCCTTTACCCTCCCTGAACTAGGATGTTTTATTAAGGCATAATTACTTCTTGATATAAAATTCTCACTTACGCACATATTAGTGTCTCTGGATTTGTTTCTCTAGTCAACCCAGATGAACACAGGAAGGTACATACGTAACAAGATGGGTGGGTTCTAGAATTAAGATGGTGGCCTAAGCTTGGTCTTCTCTCAGCTGTCTTGACCTTAAGTGTGCCTGAACTCTTCTCCAGGGGAACAATCTATGGTCCTTATCAGAAGGGAGTGGGCCGTACTTAGGGTTAGATGGTCTGATTGCTTTAGATGGCACATGACATTCAGACAGATACCCTTCAAGCAGTTAACCTTCAAGAGTATAGTAGTAACCATGAGCTTGCAAGCAGCACCTTAAAATTGGCATTATTAGGGGTGGGGAGCATGTGGGGGAATAACTTTTACTTAGGAGAATGTGAGTGGAATGCATCTCTAACTCAAGAACGTGAAGGCCTCCCTAAAATATCAGCCAGACTCCTTAAAATATGAACGTAGAGAATTTGTCTCCATATGGTCTCTTCCAGTTCTCAGCTTCCCACAATTGTATCTCATGAAAACATCCCAGTCCAGACCAACTCCAGTCCATAGTCTGATACTAGGCCATAAGACCCTCTTCAGCTCACACAGTCACAGTAATGATGCCCACTGCAGGAATAGCGCAAGTTGGTGGGTGCAGAGTCGTGTGGATTCAGTGGTGGTGGTGAGAGCTCCTGGGCTCTGGCAGGCCTCCGAGCAGCGCGCCAGCGGGAAGGTGAAGTCAGGGGCAGAAGGAGAGTTTCCCAGGGCTCCTGATGAGAAGGCCACACCCAGAAGGAGGCCCGATCAGGCTGTGGCCTGATTGACAGGTTGGACACCACCCCTACACATGACTATATCTTCAAGTTGACATGAAGTATGTAACTACTGCAGGAGACATCAATTCTATGAGAGCAAAGGATAACATTTCTCCAAAAGCAAAGATGCGAAGGCAGGAGGAGGTAGAAAAGCCAGAAGAAAGGAAACTCAGATCAGAAATGAGGCAGCGCCCACACATTGTGGAGAATGTAGACTGTGTTATTGAACATTTTATTTATACATTATCAAACTGGAAACGAATTTGCTCTGTATACTGTTACATAAAGCACAACACGAAACATTTTAAAGGAAAGGAAGAACAAACAAAATAGCGATTGTTAACACTTAGAAAGGCCCTGGTACTCCCTCTTTCAGTCAGTCCCTCCCAGAGGCAGATAACAGACCCAAATTCAGAAGAACCTCCGACCCTGCTAAGGTGCCCACTGGAATAGAGCGGGCCAGTATCAGAACGGTAGCTAAAACTGGGCGAGGGCTCTTCAGCGTCCAATTCATTACTTCGAGTCCTTGATTCCAATGCCACGGGCTAGTTTTGCTTTCAAACAGAGTTGAATCCGTACAATCCAATGAGGTTTCAAAAAGTGCATGGAAAAATTCCACTGTACTTCAATCTTATTTTCTCATGGACTTTTTGGTAGTCCCTTGCTCATTTTATGCTCTTCTGTGTTTAGTTTAATGTTTTCTTTTGTGAGGTTTGTGATAGTTACACATTCTGGTGTCAATTTGAGGATTAAAAGGGTAGGGGTGGAGTCTAGTCTGTCAATCCTGAGATAGCCAATGAGACCTCTATGTGGGCATGGCCTTCTCCTGAGAATTCTGGAAACTGTTGTATATTTCCTCCTTGGAACCGTGGAACACCTCTCTCTCTCTGGTGAGCCAAGACTTTGCAGCTGACAAGACACATGGAACTGCACTAGTGCCCTGAGCTAGAGAAGCCACATGGACTACACTAATACAACCAGACCTCTGAAGCAGAGGAGCCACGTAGAGACCCCTGCCAGCATGGAGATGCTTACAATGCCACTGGATCCAAAGACTTTCTACCCACTACCCTGTGATCATCCTGCGCTCGGCGTCATTGGATGTTTTGTGAGTCTGAAGAGGACTTTATATATTGGTATCGGACATATGGGCTAATACTGGACTTATGGGATTGAACTGGACTGGGTTGGGATGCTTTCTTTATGTACAATTACCCTGTATATAAAGCTCTCTTATATACATATGCATGTTTATGAATTTGTTTCCCTAGTCTACCCGGACTAACACGAGGTTCATTTATGTGGTTGTGTTTAGTTGTGATTGGTTTATTTTTATTGGGATAAAAGCATTCAATTGTAAGAATAGGACACGGTTTGCTTATCTATTGTTGATAGGCATTGCAATTGTTAGGGCTAACATCAATAATACTATTAGCTGAGTTACTCAGCTAATAGTATGTTTTCTCCTTGTGCATGGTGTGTGCTAGGTGCTGTTGAGTTGACTCTGATTCAAGGCCACCCTCTGTACAATGGAATGAAACCCTGTGTTGCTATGGTTGAGTCCATGGTTTCAGCCACTGTGTCAATCCATCATCAATTTTCCCCTCTTTTTCTCCCACTTCTGCTTTACCAGCATGAGGTTCTTCTCCAGTGACTGGTTCCTCCTGATAACATGTTCAAAGGGTGTCACATGAAGTCTTGCCATTCTTGTGTTAAGGAGCAAGTATTCTTGTACTTGCATTAGGCAAGTATTCTTTTTTTGTTGTTTTGTTTTGTCTTTTTTATTTTTTAAATCATTTTATTAGGGGCTCATACAACTCTTATCACAATCCATATATACATCAATTGTGTAAAGCACATTTGTACATTCATTGCCCTCATCATTCTCAAAACATTTGCTCTCCACTTATGCCCCTGGCATCAGCTCCTCAAGCAAGTATTCTTTCAAGACAGATTTTTGTGTCTGGCAGTCCATCGTATATGCAACACAATGTCTTAGTCAACACCATAATTCAAATGTATCAATTCTATTCTGGCTTTCCTTATTCATTGTCCAATTTTCACATGAATATGAGGCTATTTTCTGTTGGGTCTCCCAGCTGTGAAGCACAGGAAGAATGGGTGCATAATGATAATAACAGATACAAGAAGACATACTGGCAGAGGAGGGGGGAAGATAGGGAGAGAAAGGGAATTTTGAGAGTAACTAATGAAGACAGGAGGGGAGAGGGAGCACTAGAATGGATTGTGATTGCATAAATCATCTTAAAGGCAATTTGACCATGGGGGAGGGGAATGCTCTACAATTGATGTGGGGGTGATGGTATAATTCCCCATGATATGATTGAATGATTGAACTATTGAATTATAGGATATGTAAAATACTTGCCAATAAAACTGCTGGGGCTAAAAGAAAAACATACCTTGGTTTGAGTCATATGCATCTTAGGCTTCAAGATGCTGCCTTTGCTTTCTTATGCTTTAAATGGGTATTGTGCAACAAATTCCCCAATGTAATATGCTGTTTGACTTTTCACTGTTGCTTCCATGAGCACTGATTGAGGAGGGAAGCAAAATGAAATAACTGACAACTTCAATCTTTTCTCTGTTTATCAGGATGTTGACTATTGGTTCGGTTGTAAGGATTTTTTATTTTCTTTATAGTGCGGTATAATCCATTCTGAACGATTACAGTCTTTACATCAGTAAATATGTCAAGTTCTCTTTCCACAAGCAAGTTTGTGTCATCTGTATATCACAAGTTGTTAATGAGTGTTCCTCCAACCTGATAATGCCCTGTTCTTCTTCATATAGTCCAGCTTCTCCAATTATTTGCCCAGCATACAGACTGAATAAATAAGTAAAAAGATACAATTCTTATGCGTATTTTCCCTGATTTTAAACCACCCACTATCTTCTTGCTCTGCTCAAACAAGTGCATCATCTCCTGAAATGGTTGAATGTCCACCAATTGTTTCCAGTACTCGAACTAAAAGCTCACTGTCATTGAGTGAATACTGACTCATAGTGACTCCATAGGACAAGGTAGAACTGCCTCTGTGAGTTTCAGAGACTATAATCTTTTTGTGAGAATAGAAAGTCCCGTCTTTGTCCCAAAGAGTGGCTGGTGGATTTTAACTGCTTACGATTAGCAGCCCAACATGTAATCAATACTCCATCAGGGCTCTGCTGTATTCCTTCCATCTTCTTTTGCTAGGTAGTTCAATATTTTCCCCATGTAATTCTTCAGTATTGCAACAGGCTTGATTTTTATTCTTCACTTATTTCAGATTGAGATTATATCCCCCCACCCCTCCCCGGGTATTCTTTATGTTTGATAATGAATGAAACAGCAAGACATTTATTCTGTTTTCATAATCGCAAATGACCGGCAAGGTACAATAAGGCCTACCCAAGCCTTGCTCCTCTGAGATTTAAGCAATCTGGTAACATTATTCCCAAAGAGTGCAACAGACATAATCTTCACAACACACTGCCTTCTGTTTAACTGGCCGCAAAGCAGTCTCTGGATTTAAATTTTTTTGTTTCTCTGGAGTTGCACGGGTAGGGCTGGAGTAGGTACAGAGGTTGCAAGAACTTGACCCCGCACATCCTTCACTAAGGATGGGACTGCAGCCGAGCGGAATTAGGGACAGTGGCCTTCCGCCCTCAAACCATCTGCCTCCCCGCCCTGTCTGGTCCCGCTAACCAGACCACATCTCAAACTGAACTACCGCCTGTGCTTGCGCAGGACTCCACGCTTCGGCCACGCCTCCACGATCCGGCCCCCTTTGCCCAGGCCCGACCCCGCCTCCTCGCCCTGGCCCCGCCTCCTAACCCAGGCCCCGCCTCTACGCCCCGGTCCCGCCTCCACGTCCCGGCCGCGCCTCCACTTCCTGGTTGCCGTCACCATGTTCCGCCTCCTCTCCCAAGGCTCCGGCTCCGCCTCCAGGTTTCGGCCCGGTTTATTTCCAAGCCTTGTTTCCGCTCAGGCCTAAAGTCCTTCTCTAATTCGTAGTCCGCCTTCTTAAAAGGAGCCACACCTCCCTCCAACCTCTCGGGGGGTGGAGCTACCCCAAGTGCGGAGTTCGGGGCGTGGCCAGGGTTAGGGGGCGCCAGGGGCGGCTTCCGCGTCAAGATGGTCGCCTCCTGCCGCGTCCGGACGTGGCTCCAGCCCCACCGGCGGTCCTGTCTTCCCGCCGCGGCCCCTCTGCTGTGTGTCTCCCTCTGTCTCCTGTGCTGCCCCCCAGCCTCTGTGGACGCCGTCCCCGAGCCCGGGCTCTGGGTAGCGACGGTGGACGACGTAAGTGGCTGTCCGAGTCGAGGTGGGACGCGTCCCGCCCGGGCCCGCAAGTTCTCCGGCGGCTCCCTGGGTTCCACGTGTTCAGCCCTGCAAGCCCGGTCCCAGGCTTGCTCCTCCGGGCCTCGCCGGGCCAGCTCAGGATGCCCTCCTATGCCCCCAGGCCTTTCTCTGTGGTCAGTGGCATTTTGTGGTTAGGGACGGTTCTCCTTTTTAAACGCTGCCCTTGTTTCATGAATGAGGATCGCTTTCCCCGGACGAAGCATTGGCTTCTCGCTGTGCCCTAGACCGGAGCCTTGTTTATTCAGGACTGAGACTCGAATAGTCACGGTACTTGTAGCGGCATCTTCAGGGTTCGACCCCGCTTACTGCCAGGGCACAAGATTTCTCCAGGGTCTCGATCTCGGCATAAACTTAGACTGGAAGGAACGTGGAATAAGCACCATCCAGCCCCGCTTTTCCTCTCGGGGTTCTTGAAGGATCAGCTTTTATCCGAGAGCTTGGGTAATTAAAGGGTGTTTGAAAGGCGAGTCTGCGGGGATGGGTTGGTGGAAACTTCCTTTTCAGGGCAGGTCATTCGAGAACTTGGCATTCTCTAGTTAGTTGAGATGAATCAGGAGGGTTGTAGGGATGGAATTTTGGAAAGTCTAGCTAGAGATGGGAAGTGGGAGAGAGGCTTTATTATCTCGGGCCTTTCTTGGGTGAGATGACTCACAGTTCAATGATGTTTTCTGTGTACATTGAAATGATGTCAAGTTTTAAAAGCTAAACATCTTTTGATTGCTTTAAACAGATAAAGTAGCCTGAGGCTACAGATACTTCCTGTAACACAAAAGCTAGACAGAGTGTGGGTGGGTGTCTCAGAACTTTTTTAGGGCAGTGCCAGTATCTTCGAACGGGAAGCTCTCGATTTTGTGGTAACCTACTTTGTGCACTGGTGACAGGGCCTGGCTAACGCCATTATGGAATTTATCTGACCAGTGTCAAGCAAAGCGGTGAGCCATACTCAAGGTTTCTATCTGTCCCTGTAGTGAATGGGCAGGTCATAAGATGACTTGCGCTTACCTGTAAGAACCTTTTTCCCAAGCATGTGTCATTTAGATGGTGTGAATCCAAAGAACAGGGGGAAGAATGGTTTTTTTGCTTCCTGCCAATGAGGAAGAGACGTTTCTTCCGAGGGGCCCCACATCATCTTGAATGAGCAGAACTTACTCAACTGTGCACCTCAAACCTGTGTAAAAGCCCTCATTTCCAACGAGTGGGCTTCTGTTTCCTCATTTCAAGTGGCTGGGACTTGCCCTTCAGAGCCCTAAGAGACAGAGACATGTCTCTCCAGACATGGTTCTTTTGATATGAAGCTCAGCAGTTTGTACACGGGAGTCACCTAACCCTGTTTGCTGGAGGTATCTGGCCTGGCTTTATGAGTAGGTATTACCTTGGTGATCAAGGAGGGGAGCATTAGGTCTCTCCATAGAGTAGGAGACATTCGGATGTTTCTGTGGAATAAAGGAAGAGTGGTGTTAGAGAGGACTCAGATTACCAAAAGTTTAGCCCTGAGCTTCTGGTTTAACCTTCAGCCTGAGGGCAGGGGTCTGAAACTCCAGGACTCACAGGCACCAAGCAAATCATGTCAGTGACTGATGCGAGCAAGGTTTCCCACGGAGGGGTCACGGGGAGTGTGGTGGATGGTAGAGTGCCTGCCCTTTCTGAAGAGGGCAGCTGCCTTTTGGTCTCAGCTTGGAGGCTACTGTATGACAGCGTGGGCGTAGTTTCTAGGTCTCTATAGTTTTTAAGTTTTAAAAGTGAAGTCACAAGCCATACTTTGAAATGCAAGTTTTTACTGTGGTCAGGTCATTGAGAACTTTTTTTTTTTAAAGGCTCTTTGTGGACCAAATAAATCCTCTCGTACATGTGATTAGGCCCATAACTATTACTGGGTATGAATATGGAAGAGCTGTGGAGGGAAGGTGGGGTGGAAAGGGGGAACCGATGACAGGGATCTACATATAACCTCCTCCCTGGGGGATGGACAACAGAAAGTGGGTGAAGGGAGATGTTGGACAGTGTAAGATATGACAAAATAATAATTTATAAATTATCAAGGGTTCATGAGGGAGGAGGGAGGAAGGGGGGAAATGAGGAGCTGATGCCAGGGGCTTAAGTGGAGAGCAAATGTTTGGAGAGTGATGAGGGCAGTGACTGTACAAATGTGCTTTATACAATGGATGTGTGATGTGTGTATGGATTGTGATAAGAGTTGTATGAGTCCCTAGTAAAATGACTGAGGAAAAAAAGACTATGGAAGAGCCATTTAAGTCATTTAGATATAAAAGCTAATTATCACTCTACATCTCCCAGAGAAGAGAGTGACTGATTTAGCTCGTCTGGAGGCACAGGTACCAGGGGAGCCTGGGCAGGATTGCCGGGAGTCAGAATCCACTTCATGGCACTGAGCTTGGCTTGGTTCTAGGCAGGAAATGTATTTGTATTTTACATCATGAAAGTGTGTCTAATTTCAGTTTAAAAAAACCCACACAAACCAAACAGAAAACCCCCTCAAAAGTATGGAGAAGACTGGCAGTTCTGTGCTCATGCTGCCACAGGATCCACCAGCCGGAGCCGAAAAAGCAGCTGCCCTCTTCAGTATTGGGGATGGCAGGCTGGGGAGGGTAACTGGGTTTGGGGAGCTTTTGTGAGATGGAGTATGTTGGGCGGTAGAGGGGACGTACCAAAAAGGGGCATAGCTTGGGTGACTGCATTCGTGCTACCTCCAGCCCAGGTAGACAGCATGTGGGGAGGGGAGCTGGGGGGCATAAAGGGACCTGTCTGGCTTGGAACAGGTGATGGTGGGGTGTTTGTTAAACATCCCAGTGGAGAAGGCCCTGAGGTCACTGGGTTTGTGGGTGTGGAGCTCAGAAAATGGACCCAGGCCAGAGATTTTACTATTACTGGTGAAACTGGGGGCGGGGTGGGGTGGGGGAGGGGGGATCATGCCAAGGTTGGCAGGCTTGCCCTGTCTTTTTCTTTAAATCCTAGTCGCTATTGATTTAACACAATTTCTTTTCACGGGTTACCCCCCCACCCCCACCCCCGGAGAGGGTAGACATTATATAACTCTGGAATCAGTTCTGTAGTTTCAACAGTGGCAAGGGTTGTGGAGAAGAATGGGTACTAGAGCCATATAAGGGAGAGCCTGGCCCGGGCCCCATAGAAGACATCCTGAGGAAAGGACTTTTGAGCAGGTCTTTGAAGGATAAGAAGGAATTTTCCCTAGGCAAAGAAAGAGTCAAGAAGAAGGGATTTTTAAAGTAAGTTTTCTGATTGGTCACTGAGGTCCTGAGTAGCTGATAGCAAACTTCTACAGATGTGGGCAGATCTTGGTTATTCCAGGACTCTGTAGGCTACAGGATGAATTTTGGTGTGTTTTAAGTGCAGTAGTAAACCATAAAAATTTGAGGTGGGAGGTAGTTGTTTTTTCTAAAGTACATTCCTGTTGCTCCTAGGAGCACAACATGCAAATGCACACAAAGCCCACATCACACCTGAGCAGCGCAGATCAAGGGTCTGTCTGCTGGCAGAGATGGCCAGGGGCAGGAGCACTCGGCACCTCGCATCCGTGGTTCAAGATCTTAAGCAAATGAGCGATGCGATGATCGATTTATATATTTAAAAAAATCACTGGTCATAGTGAGGTTGCTGTGCTTAGAATGATGTATTTCATAGGGTAAAACTATATGAGGGTAAGGCAAAAAATATTGCTCAAAAAAATCATAGACACCTTAATTAAACAAAAACATCAAGGTGAAGAAGGTCTTATTTCTCAACATAGCCTTCATCTAGGTCTATACACTTCTAAGACCGTGTGTCCATTTCTATCTAACCCTTCCAAAGGACTCTTCGTCCTTTGATTTCCCCACATCAACATGGCAGTTTGGCGTCCTCGAGGGACTCCTTTGAGTTTGAGGAACAAGACGAAGTCTGAAAGAGAAAGACCAGGGGGGTAGAGTAGGTGGGGTCTGGTGGCAAACAAAGTTCTTGGGAGACCAGTCTTGCAGCCCTCAAAGAATAAACACGGACATTGTCTCCATGAGGAAAATTTTCTCAGCACAACTTTCCTGGTCTTTTAATCACCAGTGGAGTTTTCACTTTTCTTTTAAAAGTCTTCCTAATACGCCCATTTGATTGTCCAGCGTCTTCTGAGAAAATCTATCAAGATGACCTGTTTGGAATGTGAGGCTGGGGGCCGGATGGGGGGGAGTTGCCATAACCTTCCTAGCTGACCTCTCTCTCTGCCTTTAATTGAACTGACCCAGCAGATCCTTTGGAAACCATGGTTTTGATTGGACCTTGCTTCCTGCATAGTATTAGTAAATCCAAGACTCCTGCCAGGTGATGATTTATTGCATATAGTTCTCTCTGTTAGCTCTGATCTTGCTTAAAAGCCTAATGGCAGGCCCAGCTCGGTGAGCTAGCTGGTCTTTATGCAAGGCTGTTGGCACCCATTGAGCTGAGAGCTTGCTGAGGCTAAGATGTTTTTGTGACATTGAGAGTGAGAACCATGCGAGGTCCCACCTTCAGTCACTATAGCACCAACGGTCACTTGGCGGTCACCATCTTCCACCAGTTTCTGGACTTCAGCCAGTTTCCTCATTTGTCAAAGGTTGAGTGTCTTCCCTCTCTTAGCTCATGTTGGAGGTCACCCTAACCTTCCTTAAAGTGTCTGATGTATCTAAAATCTGTTATGTTATATGGTGCATCAGTCCTGTAAACTTGTGGCAAACCTTCAGTGATTTGAGAGGATGTCCACTTGAGGTTTGTTAGAAATTTGGTGTTAGCCTTGATCTCAAAATTGTTTTTATCCATAGCACACAAAAAAGTATGTTTTGAAGGTATCCTAATGAGACTACCAAACCCACTACCATAGATTGGTTTTGATACATAACAAAACGAAGACAACTAACTGTCTTAAAGAGAGAATCTGTCTGCAGCCATCCAACTGATAGCAGGCTTACTTACGCACATTTTGTTTGGAGTAAACCCATACAAATATGACCTTGAATTATAATAATACTTTTTTACTTACTCATATATATTTTTAAACAGAAATTTTTTAACAAGCTCCTTAATACTTTTTTTCTTCACATTCTAGAAATCTGGACCATTGATATTTAGGAAAACTATGTTTAACTCTACAGAGATCAAGTTTTCTGGTAAGTTTAATGAACTAATACAATACTGATATAACAAATTGTAACTAACATCATGTGACTATATTATAAATGAATATAGTAATTTAGTATCAACTAATTAGATGTACTTATGTATATGCTAAAATTTTAAGATTTTCTTTTATTTCAGTCAAGACCTGGTTATTTGCAAGAATGGGCTTTTCTGATCCTGTCTCAGAAAATATAATATGACTCATTCAATAAATATGATCATTAAAGTTTAATAAAGTAGACCTTATCAAAGAAAATTTAGCTCTGTGAAATTTGTCTTAATTCCAGATTTTAAAACCTGAAACTTCTCAATAAACCATAGTATGAAGTAAAAGTTACTAGGCATTACCATTTTATGTAGCATTTTATTTGTTTATTTCCTGTCTTACTCCCTAAACTGGCCCCAGGACCAGGGCGTGTTGTCCTGCTTGGTGCCCCATGAGGCTGGGACGCTCGGGTACCAGAAGCACTTGAATGACAAACCTATGGGCAGGCTAGTAGACAGATGAGGCAGAAGGGAGGTGGGGCATTGAAACGTGGAACAAATTTCACCTGCCAGTGTGTAGGAGGGAGGAAGTGCCAGACTCAGAAGAGACCTGTCTACAACAGCTCTGTGCAGAGGCATTACCATTTTATCTAGTATCTTGGAGCTTATGAAAGAAAAGTACTTGTTAGGTAGAAATTACCTTTTCTATATAAATACTGTTCTCATAGGAGTGAGAAGTCATAGGGCTTGAGGTTTTTCAATATTTTTAACATGTCTGTATTTGATCATAGGAGCCCTGTGGGCGCAGTAGTTAACAAGAAGGTTGGCCCTTCAAACCCCCCAGCTGCTTTGTGGGAAAAGATGTGGCATTTGGCTACCATAAAGATTCACAGCAGAGGGAGAGTGGGTTGGAAAGGGGGAACCGATTACAAGGATCTACATGTGACCTCCTCCCTGGGGGACGGACAACAGGAAAGTGGGTGAAGGTTGGCGTCGGACAGGGCAAGATATGACAAAATAATAATTTTTAAATTATCAAGGGCTCATGAGGGAGGGGGGAGCGGGGAGGGAGGGGAAAAAATGAGGACCTGATGCCAGGGGCTTACGTGGAGAGCAAATAGTTTGAGAATGATGAGGGCAATGAATGTACAAATGTGGTTTACACAATTGATGAACTTTTGGATTGTGATAAGAGTTGTATGAGCCCCTAATAAAACGATTTAAAAAAAAAGATTCACAGCGTTGGAGACCCCATGGGGCAGTTGTACTCTGTCCAGTAGGGCTACTGTGAGTCAGTATACTTGATGGCAGTGGATTTGGGGACACACTGGATCCTATTCACTGTCTGTCACTGTTTCTAGTTACTAGTTACTTGACCCCTGGGGGTTGGTTGGCACAGTGTAGGTCTGGGGATGAAGGGAAGCTTTTCTCTGGGTGAGCAGATTGGCTTCTCCAGCGCCTGAAGTTGTACTCTGTGCATCACACTAGTCTGGTCATTTCCGGAGCAACATGTGCCTCTTTCTGAGGAAAGCCAGCCAGTCATCAGCTAGACAGCGGGGGTGGTTCAGAGCAGCTCCGGAATATCTGGATCATTTGTGGTGATAAGGAGGTTTCTGGTAAGAGGAAATGGAAGTTCAAGGTGGGCGGGGAAAAAATATTTTGGTATCTTGCTACTTTCATGAATTTATGTCTCAAAGTGTAGACAAAATGGATTAAAAACAAGCTCAGGCTCGTACAGGCAAAAAAAAAAAAATGCTGTGTGTGGGGGGAACAAGGAAGAAATGCAGGCCCTAGATAGAATCTGATTTTTAGTAAATCAGTGCATAATGCAGGAGGTCACCTTATGGTAGACTAGAGTCAAGATAGTGCTGTTCACACATCACCTGGGATTTGTTAACGGCTGGAACCTTGTTTTCTGCCACTGCCTCAGCGTAGTTTGAACTTCTTCCTTCCCTGCTACTGAGTCTCAGTCCCGTGCTACTTCGTGAAGAAGCTGAACTCTGACGTTGACTGTACAAGTCCTCCGACCGTTCTGATGCCTCCTGCGCTGTTCACAGTGTCACCCACTGAATGCAACTTCTGTACCGCAGCTCTGTTCTTTCAGGCTGAAAAATGATGACCATATTCTACTCTTTGGGTTTTGAACTGCAGATTTTCACACATCTCATCCCAACACGTGACTGTGTCTTCTGTGAAATGGTCTCGTTAGCTTTTTTCCTTCGTCAGTGTTTCTGTTTCCTCGTGTTGTTGGGTCCTTGGCGTCTGCTCTGACTCATAGCAACCCTGTGTGCAGCAGAACTGAACGCTGCCCTGTCCTGCACCACCCCCACAGTCTGTTATTGACGGTGGAGCACATTGCTGTAACCACTGTCAACCCATCTCCTGAGTGTCCTCCTCTTTTTGCTGATCCTCTCTTGACCAAGCACACTGTCCTTCGCAGGGTCTGATCTCCTGATACCATGTCCAAAGTATGTGAGATGAAAACTCGACATCCTGGCTCCTAAGGAGCACTCTGGTTGTACTCCCTTCCAGGCACACTTGTTTGTTCTCCTGGTAACCCATCAGTATTCTTCAGCAACCCCATAACTCAACTGGACCAGTTCTTTGTCTTCCTTATTCATTGTCCAGCACTCATGCGTGTGAGGTGATGGCTTGGGTTAGGTGCCCCTTAGGCCACACAGTGACATTTTAAATGGGTCTTTTTTTTTTTTAAAACATTTTATTAGGGGCTCATACAACTGTTATCCCAATCCATACACACATCAATTGTGTAAAGCGTATTTGTACATCATTTTAAATGGGTCTTAACACAGCAGATTTGCCCAGTGCAATATGTCCTTTGATTTCTTGACCACTGCTTTCCATGAGCATTGATCCATGTAAAATGAAATCCTTGACAACTTCGAGCTGTTTTCTGTTTATTATGATGTTGATTGGTCCAGTGGTGATGATTTTTGCTTTCTTTGCATTGAATTACAATCCATACCAAAGACTGAGTCTTTGATCGCCAACAGTGATTCCTCTTCACTTTTCAGCAAACAAGGTTGGTCATGTGCACAGTGCAGTTTGTTGGTAAGTCTTCATGTGAGTCAGCTTCTTTGGATTATTTACTCAGCATACAGAATTGAGTAAGAATGGTGAAGGAAGAAATGCAACCCTGACACACACCTTTCCTGTTTTTAGATCATGCAGTGTCCCCATGTTTTATTTGCACGACTGCTTTGATCTGTGTTCAGGTACTGCATGAGCCCCATTAAGTGTTCTGGAATTCCTGTTCTTTGCAATATTATCCATAATTTGTTGCTGATCCAATTGAATGCCTTTACATTGTTGCGGGTTCAGATAAAAGAAGACCACCACAACGTCCAATTAGAATTATGTGAAGTCTTTACTGTCAGGTTAGCCTGGACCGCAGTGGGGAAATGTTCAAATGCCACTTTTCACCAGGTTGCAGTGTCTGTCTTCCTTGGCCATGCCTCTTTTATATTATTCAGGGAGGGTAGAATACAGAAAGCAGAAGAAAAAGCAAGTTAAAATACATATATCACTAAATGATATTGACAGAAGCAAAACAAAAGTATATTTGGGTAAAGTTTCGGGGGCTTTGTTTTATGACTCGATTCCTGGATTTCGTCTCTAGCTTGCCTCTTAGCTGGGGAGGCCAATGAGCACTCCTGTCCCTGAGAGAAAGACTTAGAGCAGCTTCTCTTGATAAGGAGAGAGTGGCAGTTGAAACAAGAATTGCTCTGAGGGCACTTACACACCTGTATTCTACTGTGATGTTAAAACAGGTGACCTCAGGCCAAGCAGAGGCTGGTCAGAGGGGCCTGGGAAGTTGCCCTCAAGGAAAAGTATTCTTGTGACAGTTCTGCTTAAATGTGGTGTTCTGTGCTTGTCTATTTCAGCAGTCATTTAAACACAAGTGAACCTCATTCTGGTATTTTCTATTTTTGTCAAGATCATCTGTCATCAGCAGTGATCTCTCTCATGCCAACTCCTCTTCTGAATCTGGCTTCAACTATTTTTTAATTATCTTCAGCAAAATTTTACTTGCCTGCGATATTAATGGTACTGTTAATAATTTCTTCATTCTGGGTCTCTTTTGCCAGTTGGCCAGGTAGCTGTCTGTCTTCCCAATGTCTTGGCAGAGACTAGTGAATCTTTCTAGTGCTGGCTCAGTTGTTGAAACATTTTCATTGGCATCCCATCGGTTCTTGGACCCTCTTTTTTCGCTTATGCCTTCAGTGCAGTTTGGACTCCTTCCTTCAATAATACCATTGGCTTTTGGTCGTATGCTACCTCTTGAAGTATTTGTACATTGACTGTTTCTTTTGGGTGTAATGACTCCTGAAATTTTTGGTTGACGCCTACTGCTGCATCATTCTTCCATTAACTACTGTGCTTTCAAGAGCAAGCTTCAAAGTCTTCTGACATCCACTTTGGTCTTTTCTTTTTTTCTAGTCTTGATAACCTTTTGCTTTTTTCGTGTCTGATGTTCTTAATGTCATCCCACTGCCTCTCTGGTCTTTGATCATTACTTGTTCAGTGCATCAAATTAGTTCTTGAGATGTTCTTTAAGTCCAGGTGAGATATACTCAGTCATATTGACTCTCGTGGACTTGTGGTTTTTTTTTTTAACATTTTATTGGGGACTCATACAACTCTTACCACAGTCCATCCATTGTGTCAAGCACATTTGTACATTTGTTGCCATCATCATTCTCAAAACATTTTCTTTCTACTTCAGCCATTGGTATCAGCTCTTCATTTTTTCCCCTTCCCTCCCTGCTCCCCCCTCCATCATGAACCCTTGATAATTTATAAATTATTATTATTTTGTCATATCTTACGTCTCCCTTCACCCACTTTTCTGTTGTCTACCCCCCAGGGAGAAGGTTATATGTAGATCCTTGTAATTGGGTCCCCCTTTCCAGCCCACCTCCCCTCCACCCTCCCAGTATCGCTACTCTCAGCACTTGTCCTAAAGGGTTCATCTGTCCTGGGTTCCCCATATTTCCAGTTCTTTTCTGTACCTGTGTACATCCTCTGGTCCAGCCGGATTTGTAAGGTAGAATTGGGATCATGATAGTGGGGGATGGGGGTGGGAGGTGGAGAAGCTTTTAAGAACTAGAGGAAAGTTGTATGTTTATCGTTGCTACCCTGCACCCTGACTGGCTCATCTCCTCCCTGTAACCCTTCTGTAAGGGGAGGTCCTGTTGCCTACAGATGGGTCTTGGGTCCCCACTCTGCACTCCCCCCTCATTCACAATGATTTGATTCGTGGACTTGTTTTAATATTCTTCATCGTCAATTTGAACTTGCATGTGACCACCTAATGGTCTGTTCCACAGTCGTCTCCTGTCCTTGTGTTGGCTGATGGCATTGAGTTTATGAACGGACACTTTTAGGTTTCTCGGGTGGGAAATACCTGGGTCCTTGACTTCGCACAAGAAAGAATTCACGCCAAAGCCTGGTTTGTGTTCCAAGTGGGTTCTTTTTATAAAGGATAGAAGCAGTTTCAGGCATTACAGTAAATTGAACACAAGCCAAAGAGAGAGAGAGAGAGACCATGGCACAGGCCCATGTGCGCTGAACTGAACTGTGTAGGAGCTGCTGGGAGAGAGAGAGAGATTCTGTTTTTTCAGCCACCCCCACCCCCCCTCATTTGGGAGGCATGGTCGACCCCATTGGCTGAATTAAGCCCACCTGGCCTCGATAGGGCCCATCCAGGTATACCGCCCACCTAGGTGTACCCCCCCTTCCTGGCTGGAGCCTGAATGTAAGCATGCCCTCTAGCCTTTATGGCTGGCTGGGCTCGCCTGATTTACTGCAGCAACCTCCTGTAGGGGTACCTTGGCATTGAGCGGGACAACTCCCTATCTGGCTGCCTAACAGCACTTCCCGCAGATGTAGTGAATTTGATTCCTGTGTGTTTCACCTAGTGAGGTCCAGGTGTATAGTTGCCGTCTCTGCTGTTGAAGAAGTGCTAAAGTATTTGCACTGAAGAAGTTGTTGTCTTGCAAAATTCTATCATGACAGTCTTGTTTCTGTCTTCCAGCCCATATTTTCCAATTACTGATTCTTCTTTTTGTTTCCAACTTTCGGGTTCCAATCACTAGTCCCCTACCAGTGGGTGATTTGGAGGATGGGACCGTGCTTTGCTCTGCTGTACATAGGTCATTGTGAGTCAGAACTGATGCAGTGGTACCTAACCAGCCCAGGGACCCCTGGAGCTTCCCTGCCCAGGGGTTGGATGGAGTGAGGCTGCGCTGTGTCCTCATCATTAGTTGAGTCAGTCCACCCTCTTTCTTTTCACTAGGTGCTCTTTTGGGTCTGTTACCCACCACTGAAGTCACCTGATAACATTGGGAACTCCAGTTATTTGGGAAATTTCAATGATTTAAAAGCTTAGTGAAGACTGATTGTGTGATGAAGGGTTTGTTGGGAGAAAGGGATGTTTCTTTCTTTTCAACCTGAGGAACCTTTACATAAAATTAAAGGGCAAGTCCTAAATGCTCATCAGTAAGGAATGGCTAAAGAAACTTGGGTAAAACAAAAACACTTGGATAAGTAAGCACAATGGATTGTCATACAACACTGAAAAACAAAGAGGAGCCCAGGAAGCACCTCCTGACGTGGATACTTGGAGAACATAAGCTGAGTGAATTAGCCAATCACAAAGGGACAAGTACTGTATGAGACATCAGGGGCAGTGATATATTTAAAGTGGATCTCCCAGCCAAAGTCTCTAACCTCCACCAAATGACCTATCCCTGAATGGGTCTGCTAAGAAGGTGGGGGGAAGATACTGAAAGGGTTCACCTGAGTAGTTTTGACCTGCTGTGTATAGAATGAGCCCTCTGAGAAGTAGGAGGAGGAATCTCAGTACCAGCAAGAGCCAGGAGCGGAGTGTGTCTTCTGGACCTGAGATCCCTGCACTGTGAGCCTCTAGGAGCCAGAGCATGGAACAAGGTGATGCACTTCCCCACCGTGGAGCAAGTTAGGACGAGTGCTTTTGTCCAGGAGGCTGGCTTGGGAAGTGAGATGCCTCTGGGCACTTAATTGGGGAAGATGGACTTGCTGGCAAGCGGAGTTGACTTAATTCACGGAGCTCGGTGTGTGCTGACCCAAGGGTCTTGAGCTGAATGCCTTCCGGTTGAGGCTTACAGCAGGAGTGGTATGCCCCTTTGGACATTTTATTAGCAGATCTGAAAGACCTTTGTAAACCATCCCTGAGAGCATTTACAACTTGTTTTCATCCTTAATAAACCTTAGAATCATGAATTTTGTTTGCAAGCTTCTGCACAGTCATCACAGTGGGTATTAGAGCCTAGATATCAAGTAGATAAATAGAAAATATTAATTTTAAAACAGTACAAGATCACTGTTATAGGGGTGTGAAACAAAACAACTTAAAGACTTTCCTCCCAAAGGGAACAGAATTTAGAGTTTGCCGAACAGAGCAGGGAAAGCAAGGGACAGAATATAAAGCAATAGACTAGATGGTTGACGTGTTATCTGGGGTGAAGTGGAAGATGGTGGTGCAGGAGAGGCAGAGGAGAAATTAAGGAGTAGGGGAAGAGTGAGTTACCGGGAGGTTTGATTCGATGTTTAAACGTAACACAAAGTTGATTGGGAATATAAATCCTCATCTATAAGTTGGACTTTTCCTCCCACGGGGCTGCTGTGTGATCTGTTCATGCTCTCAGACTGTTTTGTGCTCCTGCCCATTGCCCCGTTCTCAGTTCCTCTTATGACTATGATTCTATTGATAAACCAAACTCACTGCCATTGAGTCAGAGCTGACTCAGCGACACTTTAGGCCAGGGTAGAACAGCCCCTGTGAGAAAGCCCCATCTGTCTCCCTATTCTAATTGAAAATGCCTATCTAATTGTCATCCTCCACCTCTACCACCTCGTCTGTCAGGAACAACTGTTTGTTTACTAATTATATCTCTTCCCAGCACACTCACGGATGTGCACTATTTCTGAATGAATGAGTGAGGAGAACGTTTTACAGTGAAAAAGCAAAGCTCAGCATATTAGGGAACTACTTGATTGATTTTAACATCGATCTTAACATGTAGATGAAAGAAACCGTGTTACAACAACTTTTAGTGAACTATAATAACTTAGAGGAGCCCTGATGGTGTAGTGGAGTAGGTTACACATTGGGCTGCTAACCGAAAGGCCAGCAGTTTGAAACCACCAGCCACTCCTCTGGAGAAAGATGAGGCTTTCTACTCCCATTAAGAGTTACAGCCTTGGAAAACCACAGAGGCAGTTCTACCCTGTCCTATAGAGTTACTATAACTCAGGTTTAACTCGATGGCAGTGAGTTTTGAATTTGGTTTACAGCTTAATGAGTTGATTTGTCTCATTGTGCAGTGACTTTTTGGAAATATTGTTAATATTTTAGTGCTAAAGTAGCCTACTTTAATTTGTATGCTCGATACCATAAGTCCATGGTAGGGTAGATTTATTATTCATGTAAAATGATACTTTTTTTTTTCCTAAACAGTTAAGTCATTCAGTTGTCCCGAGCCTGTGAAGTTTACCATAGAATGGCACTTGAAGTATCATATCTGTCAGAATGAATATCCTGACCTGGAAGTAAGTAAATCACAAATATTTAATGCATGCAAGCTACAAAGGAAATTGCTGTGAATACAAGAATTTATGAGGTCATTAGATGAGAAGGTTAAAAATAGAGATTCTAGTTTTTAAAACGCCACTGATTTATTTTGGGACAAGGCAATAAGTCCAAGTATATGCTATCTCAGAATACCAGTTTTTCTCCTTGGTACCTTAGAGAAAATGTTAGTGAATGTCTAAAGGACACGTGCCGGAGCCAGTGATAGGTGCTGTTGGGTTAGTTCTGTCGCACAGCAACCACACATAGAGTTCAACACTGTCTGGTCCTGTGCCATCCTCGCAGTAATTGTTTTGTTTGAACTCACTGTCAATCCATCTTAGTGAGGGTCTTCCTCAATTTCCCTCCCTCTTTCCTTTACCCAGCATGATGTCCTTCTCCAGGGACTGGTCCCTCCTTTGATGTGTCCAAAGTATATGAGACCAAGTCTAGCCATCCTCACTTGTAAGGAACATGCTGGCTGTGTTTCTTCTTAAGGTTTGTTCAAAATAAGACTTTGGAGAACACTGTAGATCACATAATAGAATTTTGCAAAACCAACTTATTCATGGGAAACAACCTTTTTCAAAAACACACACACACACACACACACACACACACACACACACACACAAACACAAAGTACATCTTAGTCTTCAAAGGAACATGCTGGCTGTGTTTCTTCTTAAGGTT